ATTTACGGTGTCATCCACATAGTTGTCAAATTATTATGAGAGAGTATGGGAAAGTATTATTACAAGGATTGTTTATGGTTATAATTTGGTTCTGACTAAACATAAGGCTCTACAGCACACAATAGGCTTTCAAAATTACATTAGGGAAATATATTTGCATTCTTATTGCCAGTTATTATCAGTTTATTATATTTTTGCTCGTTGCAACTATTATAATTGTATAGTGTTTACCAGGAAAGTTCGCTATTAATTTTGAAGTGTGACAGCAGTGTAAAGCAAGTGTAGAAGACGTAAATAATGATTCATTCATAAAACGCATGCTCGCTCCTCAGATAAACATTCTCGCACAAACCATCGATACTCAAATTAGCAGCTGTCTTTTTCTTCCTAATGCTCTGTCAGCTTTGTCTGCGTAATAAACAATCTGAATGATTACAATAAAAAATAGCTTAATTATAAATAAATGGATTATTCTAGTAATTTTTCGTTGTTAGGGAATACATAAATATTTTGTGTAAATTAATCACTATGGTTGATCTCAATGACGATTAATAATCTTAATTTTAAAAATATTAATTATTGTAAGGACATAAATTCTTAACTCAGCCATTTACCGTTTGAAAGTATTGATAAATTTACCCTTATTACGGCGTTTCTTAACCTGTGGGGCACGCCTCCTAGGAGGCGCTGTAACTTTACGTCAAAAAAAACTATTATTACTAATATAAAAAATTAATTCACACAAAGAAAAGCATGTTATTTATTCTGACATTACAAAAATTAAGTAAGTACACGTTTAAACTAATATACTATTTATGTTCTAAATTGTAGTTCATTATAAAGATAAAGGCCACATGCCATGCCATAGTTGGTATAACTGGAATGACATGACAGCAATGTCAATGGTCAATTGATATTTGAAATATAATTCAATATTTCATATGTAATTTGATTTAATTAAAATCCTATTATATCTTAAATATATTCTTTCCATCTATTGATAAATCTACATCAATATCACATAAAACAATTTAATTATTATAAATATGATTGTATTAGTAGGTACTGCCAAATTCCAAATGAAACTAGTAATAAACTCATCAGTATTAAATTAATAGTAGCTTTAATAATTATTAGTGTCTCCCTTGGGCCTGTCTCGCACAGCAGTTTTTCAAAAGAAGGTTATACATTAAAAATAGCCATTCTTAGTTCTTTCTATATTCAGTCGAAACCTATAATTTGTCTTTAAAAGCAGCCACCGCAGAAAATCCGGCTTCGCAAAGGTAGAATGTTGAAAATGGCAATAATATACAAAATGTTTTGTTTTCAGTGGAAAAAAGGCATCATCCACTCCCTCCCAAAATACAAATAAAGATTTATCACTAAAACCTCTCTTAATTTCGCCGCTTGCAGTAAAGTCTATGAATATTTCTTCTTTTGCAATTGAAATACCTTCTGGAGTAGTTCGAAATGGATCCCTAACCTACTTGTAATTTGCTACCAATTTATCGTCAGCAAAAAAATACGTTTTAAAAGTCTGTCCTAACATGGCTAAATGACTTTCTATTGTTACCAAAACAACTCCTTGTATGTTTTAACACATTCATTGCAAACATGTTTAGTGTTTTTTTGTTTCACATTTCTGCTCCACAGCTCCAACTTTCTACAAAAACACTAACTTTGTCACTGATATCCAACATATGTGTGTTTGCACCTTGGAGTTGTAGATTCAGGGTTTTTAATTTCGCGAATATATCGACCAAGTAAAACTCAATTTCATCACAAATAAAGCTTCTCGAAACTATTTGGCTTTGGAGCAGTTTTCCTCTTCTAGAAAAGTGGCAATTTCCTCTTTCAACTCATAAATACGTTGTTAAAATTTCCCACGCGATAACTGTCTGGCCTTGCAATAAAATAGCAACGTCGAATGTTCTTGACCCATATCTTTGCAAAGTGCATTAAAGATTCTTGATTTTAGGAGACTCATTTTTATATAATTTACTACAGTTACAACCGTCGTTAGCACAATATTGAAATATCTTTAGAAACCAGGGCCTTTTTGTGGATCATGCAATGGGTCTAGATACATTGCGGAGATTTTTGTTTTATAAATGCTTGTAAATTTTGAAATCTTCCAGACATTGTACGAACACCATCGGTGAATATTCTAACGCAATTCTTCCACTCTATGTTTGTCTTATTAATAAAATAATTTAAAATATCAAACAAAGCGAGTGCTGGTTACCCTACATTTGACACGTGGGGTGTAATAAACTCTAGCAACTACAAGTATTAGAAATTAAAAATTAAAAAAAACCGACTTCAAAAACGTGCAGATGCCATCACCGCATCTCAACCAAATTTATATGGGACCATCCCTGAGGTACTCCCTTATTATAAAAAAAAAATGCAAGAGTTTGAGGATTTTCTCATGGACCCAATTATTAGCTTTTGACCAAATTTATAAGGGACTACCCCGGAAGTACCCCCTTTCTAACAAAAAAGAATCATTGAAATCGGACACCGTGTTAAAGAATTATCGCTGAACATACATAAAAAAAAATATCGCAACGAATTGATCCTCCTCCTTTTTTGAGGAGGCCAAAATATTTAGGCCAAATCAGCAAGGAAGGTGTACGAAATGTCCCAGATACGTTTGTGAAGCTTGCAATACCTTTATATGCTTGAAGCATGCATTGCTATATTGCAAAGTTGGTGATTCTTGACATATTTTGATGATTTTTCTTCTAGTTTTAAGAATAGTATTTTGACTTTTAGTTCTCATGTTGTATAAATTATATAGCTAGGATTTTGTTTTTTTACTTAAATTTGGTACCACATTTTGTAAGTAAAATATAATGAGTTAAATTTTGTATGTAACTATTTTTGAAAAAAAAAAAAAAAAAAAAAAAAAATATTACCAATTTTTGTGTTTAATTTATAAAAAAAGTAAATATATTATAAAAATAAAATAAAAAAGGTTCAATTATTTAAAAAAATATATACAAATTTATTTATAGTGGGGTTTCTCAAACCCCACGTGTCGGAGCGTGGAAAAAAATTTCACCTGTCAGACACCGGGTTAAGTTCTATATGTTCGTCTACTGCCGATATTCCCTCCCAAAATCGGACATAGGCAATTACCTCGTCAAGCTGAATCGAAAACAATTTGTCAAGCAATCTTCGGCTATGTCACCCATTCGGCGGGCAACAGTTTCATTTGAAAGAGATATGGATTGCAATTGTTTGGCAAAATTTTCTCCAAACACAGTTTCTACAATCTCCATCGCACCTGGCAGAATAAAATCTTCACCAATGGCTATTTTATATTTTAAGAAGCTTTTGGTTGAAGAATGATGTTTGTTCTTTATATGAGTTTAATTTTAATTCAAATAATTCTCGGGGCTTGTTAACATACTCACTATAAAGTTTTTCCAAATAGCGCCTAAGTTTATTAGGTTTTTTTTGCTGGCTACTGCCAAAATTTTTAAACAAATGACGCACATAGGTCTTTCTTCTTTATTTATTTTAGTAGTGATAAATCTAAAATTTAGGTACTCTTGTGAATATTTTCTTGATTTTATCTTCGAAAATATGGTCGACTCAGCAATTGTTAATTCTCTAATACTCGTTTCCATCCAGTTAAAAATCTATCGATCTGTATAAATTTACTACCGTAAAATTTACGTAAATATCTTATACGGAAATACGGTACAGTTACACAAATTTTACAAAAATTTGCAAAGCACAGCGACTGATCGGAATCTCTAACAGCCGCAGCATTTTTACACGCTTGTTCTGCAAATCTTCCGTACTATTCCAAACAAATCAAAATGACGGTAAGCCGCGGGAATGTTCGATATTCGTCGTAAATGACAGAGAGCAGATGAGGAACATCGATTCTGGCTTTACGCTTAACTATATGGGATGTAGAGCCGCGGCATTGCCAAGTTTTAATAAATTCCCCTATTTTCGGTAACTTTAAAGGTCTGCAATTAAGTTTTATAATAGAGCTCTAGGCCCAAGATCTAAGTTACTAACAACACGCTACACTAAGCTAATAAATAGAGTCAAAAATTTTAACGCATAATATACGTCGTATTTTGTTATACGATAAAGAAAGGGAGGGGCTCCATAAAAAATGGCATTGAAAATTGGACCCCAAATACTGAAAGGTTGAGAAAAGCTGGCTTGGTACTTAATTTGACAATAGCCGCTCAGTTGAGTTTCACCGGTAATAGATAATAGACATGGTATGGTTTTCATAACTGTCACTTAGTTGTTTATTGTCTTAAATATAATTCTTTAGCATTATCGTAGAAGTATATTTTATAATTAAATATTAAAATATAATAATATTTTAAATATTGAGTCAAAGAAATAAAAAGATGGTTTATAAAAACGGTGACTTTTTCAATATGGAAACAATCACATAAAAAAACTTCAATTTACCTAACCTGTACGGCAGGGAGTCATTTAAGCCTTCTAAACCAACTTTGGCACATATTAAATCTGCATCCGATCAGTTTTACTCCGGGCCAATCCAGAATACATGCGTTATGAAATATATTTCAAGTAAAAATAAATATAGCAACAATGTCGGCCATTTACCCTAATTTTAATAGTTCTTTGTGGAATTCAAGTTAATCCTTTCCTAATCCAACTCGGTTCCTTTAAATATTACCCTAATTAGGCGGGCTCCAGCTTGACTCTCCCGCAATTTTGGAACATAAACAGCTTAGAAAACACGTATTTATTCAATCATATCAGGTATTTTTTCTGATATTTTCAAACTAACCACATTAACCACAAAATGCAGTTACCAAATAATTATACCTTCATAAAGACATTCTCTGCCAATATTATTATAGACATTATCCGTTTTAGAAAGTGACTGATTGACTTTTGCTTTGTGTACGACTGGGTATTGAGATTTTTGAAAACTTATAATAAATTAGTTGAATCATTCAATTGTGTTTAACAGGTGATATTCTTTTCAGATTGAAAAATGACGAAGAAAAAGATAGACTTGGTTTCATCCGATTTTAAATCGACGTAAGTATTATTTATTTATAACTTTATTATACACATAACCTATTCACAAAATGTTTTTCACCAGATTTGCTATTTGTGTAAAAACTTCTTTATTTATTTATATTTTTATAAGACAATAATAGTTTTATTGGAATATTGTCATATTAACCGAAAGAAAAACATATAATATAATCTGCTACCTACAGCTTCATGACATTTAAAAAAATTAAAGATTACAAAAAAATCATCAAGTTTATAAAAACAATTTGTGACTAGGAATTTTTTAGGATGATTTTTAAATAGTCTAATATCATGAACCCATATAATTTAGTGAACAATTATTTATTTAGTTAGGGGTAAATAGAGAAGATGGTTTTATCTCAATGGATGTTCACTGTGGCATTCGTTATTGTAAACAAATTTCTTCAGCTTTATATGAACAGAGACGCACAATTACAAATTCAATAGGATGTTAATGTTAAAATCTTCGATTTTTTAAATAATTCTTACACGATGTACACCAACAACTATTTTCAATGAACAATGCAGAATTGCTTAAAAATGCAGCTTTGACTTCACTCTGCATGCAAGTTCTCAGCCCCAAACCATTAAACGAATATGTTTCTTCTCATGTAACATTCCTTTGAATAGCACTTTCCATTATTGTTACATACAGCTATCCAACTAATTAAGGTGATTACAGAACCCCTTATAATTTTCGAACAAGCATATCTCAAAAAATAATTTTTTTAAAAAATTAAAATTTTGGCAAAATGAATGAGGCAATAATATCTAAAACATGCATATATTTTAAAGTTTTAGTTCCTTTCTGTTTCCAAGAGAAAAAAACCCTTAAATTTTGAAATATCATAACTAAAATAAATGCATTCCTCAACAGCACTATTTTTAATGTAATCCCCAAATTTAAGCTCTTAATCTCTTGTTAATGATTTTTTAAAATTCGCTGGAATTAGTGGCTAAAACGCCTGGTTAAGTGCTATTTTCTGGTTTAAACTGGTGTAAACTGGTGTAAATCATTGCAAGAAACGAATGATGACTCAGAGTGTACGATACGATGGTTACAGTCGCTTTACACCAGAAAGAAGCACTTAACGAGGCGTTTTAGCCACTAATTTCGGCGAATTTTAATATTAGGTTCGAATCTTAAACGGTGACTTCATAATCTCAATTTTTAAATAAACTAAGTATGAATTGATTGTTTTAAAGTTCCGAAAAACTATCGGTTATTGATCCGAACACAACCTTCTCTTTATTATTCAGCTTATTTTTTATTTTGCGCTAAATTACACGCTTTAATTTGACAATTTCCTGTAATAACAATTCTGCCTCTTTATTAAAATATTTCCAACGATTTTTTTTTTATATTTTTCATTTTTAAAATTGTTTTTACAAGAAACGATAACGCAACTCAACCGTTTGTAACAAATGAGGTGGTCACGCTCAGTTCTCATCTTTATAAATCTAAAAAAAGGACATTAATAAAGTTAAAAAAAGTTAATTAATACCTAGTTAGCTCTTCAATTAGGCAACCTTTTGGACTCCATATAACGAACTAGCATTTTTCTTTTGGACTTAGAAGTAATATGTATGTCTTCTATTGAGTGCGAAGGAATCATTTTCAAGTTTGGCATATTTTATTTTTTTTATTCCTAATATTCAAAGGACATTTTATTTCTAAAATGGCGCTGTCATCCACCAATCCATCTGGACTAGCACCCAAAAAACTATATTCTTTATCGATGAATAGCTCATATTTTTTTACTTTGTGTTTGGAGATTGCCTCACAATCTTCGACTGCAAACAGCTCGTTTAATTTCCCATATTGTGTCACGTTGTTGCCTTTAAATTTGTTGTATAATAATACTTTGAGTTGATGCTCTAGTGTTTGCTTTTAATTTACAAATTTTTCCAAAATTTGATGCGGTTATATTTTTTTGTCTCTCTTCCAACCATAGAATGGAAGAGGTCTGTTCCTTGGTAAGATCCTCAATTGTATCAATCTCTTCTTGCGTTTTATTTAACATATTTAGGAATTCCAGTTTTCTCAAATTATACTCATTTTCATCCATATCAGGAATAGGTTCGTGGATATTACCATAGTCCCTATCTGGAAGAGCGTATTTTTTTTTCAATCGCATCTCTTGTCGACGCTCCATTCTTTCTTTCCTTAGTTTTGCAAATCTTAGTATCCTTTCTCCAATTATTTTTAAATATTTCTTTGTGTATGTATTTCTTGCTATTGCCTTATGGAGTATATCACAATATTATGCTCCCTTGTTGAATGATATTACCGCAGCTTCACATCTGGTCTGATAGGAATCCCTTTTCGAAAAGTTGATTCTTTTTCCTCCAACGAATTTGCAAACTATTGAATTATAATGTTCAGCAAGATTATTATTCATATTGTGAATCAAACTTTCGATATTCAAAATAAGTCGATTCAAGCAAAGCAGGATGTCTCTGTATAACCCACATTCTTTCATAAGTGTTACGAAATTGGTGACTTTTCTGTCACATTTAAAATAATTGATCGCTTCACATTCGGCGTGTCCACCAAACACATGAGAAGGGGCATTGAAGATATCTCTTTTCAACAGTTCTACTTTCTTTTTGAAATTGGTGTTTTCATCAATTCGATATTTCTTGCCTTACTGATAGCAAATCCTAAACGTTTTGAATTTTTTTCCACCTATTTTCTTAGGTAGACTGGTACAGAAGAATTCGTAGTAACACTCCGGGGTTTCTCTAAAAAATAAAATAATATAATGTTAGTACGTCATTAAATAATTTACTCATGTTAGGTATAAGTCATTAAAGAATTTACTCACTGACTATATCTCTTAATTTCGAAGAAAAATATCTAAGCAGATGGTTTCTACATTCAATTTTTGAAATTGCTGTTTAGGGACCATACGGCTTCGTTTCCATCAGTTTCTTATACACAGAACTGTCACCATCGCCAACCAAGGTGACATAATTCAAACCACGTGTATGTAGGTATACTGCTTCGAAATCCTTCAATAATAATGTCTGTTTCCATTGATGTAGACGTACCGGTCCAGTTTTTAAAACATTTATGTTGAGGTATATCTGTTTCCGGTTATGAAAATCACAAGTACTGCAAAATTTGTTACTAACTCCCACATATAATAATTTTCCAGTCCGGTAACCTACAGTACATCCCTAAAAAGAATAATGTTAGAAATATCAATTTCTACTTGTATAAAATTTAGACTTACCACGCCAGATTGTAGTTGACGTTATATGGTCGTTTTAAACATGCTCCATCTGCTATCACAGTTATAAATGGAATCCCATTTCCATCTACTTCTCCTAAGCTTTTGGCCAACTCTGCTTTCTCTCTTCCAGTTTCTTCCATTACTTGCGTGGCTGCTGAGTAAATTGCATCAGCCATACTTTGTCGTGATAATGGACGTACGTTTTCTTCGCAATCATTGGCATATTTACTGAAGATGCTATTTCGGCTAAGGTTGAGTAACCGATACCAGTCGAAACTGCTCCCAAAGTCAGTGCCGAATTGATATCTATTGAATCAGTGGTTCCTGAGAAATTGTTCGGATCTTCCGAATAAATTTGTTTAGTTATGCTACATATTTTACATTTAAAAGTAAATATTTATATAAACCCATTTCTCACTTTATTGATAACCTCCATATCTGTGATATCACATCCAAACAGTCCGTGCTTTTCTCCATCAACAATTTGTTTGAAAAGGAAAAGGATGTCTACTGTCCTTCTTCCAGTAAGAACAAAATCATCGGAGATTGTCTTTTGCTCCAAAGGAACATTTATTTCTTTATCACTGGTCTCATAATTCCGACTACACCCGGGTTGCGGTTCGAACTGAACTATAACAGTATCAGTCAAACTACGAGGATGTTCATCAGCTAGTACCGGATTTATTTTATGTTCAAGAGTATGAGGAATACTGAAATAAATGTAATAATTAAAAAATTAAAATAGTAATGCAAAACTCTGTATGATGCGTTTTAACCTGTCAAATAGACATGCGTATTTTTCAAAATAACCCCGTATTTTATTTTAGTTTTAGAATGGTTTGGTATTCAACCCTAATTTTTTTTTTATTTATTACGGAGTGGCCGTACAATTAATTTTTTTTATGAAAATAGAGAATGCAATACCCTATACGCTATACTACCAATTAATTAATACAGGGTATTCCATTTTAAAAATTGAGAATATCGTAACCTCATATTTTGACGCACCCTATATACATATAATATAGCAAATGAATGAAGTCAATTAAAATTGTTTGACGAGGTTAAAATAATCAAATATTTGTAACTTCCTGCAGGGTATTCTATTTCGATTTTGTCAAAAATAAACGTACTTTACTCTTGAGCAAAATTCATATTTTTTGACAAACCTCGTATACGGCTTGAAAAATTTGATATGTGATGACTGTATTTTAGGTTTTGGATCATGCAGGACTTTTTATCAAGTATAACTTTTTTTCCTAAAATCAATAATAAAAATGTTTTCCATATGGTTCCAACTTAAGTAGACACACTGTATAAAGAACTATTATACAATAGTATTACCTATTATTAAGTAATTTCTCTTACAAAAGTCTATCATATTGAGTTTATTTCTGTTCATTGCCTTTGCTCCATTAATTCTCAAAATCTCATTCCTCGATTTGATAAGATTAAGGGAGGATATAAATTTCAATTCTTAATTGTGACCGGTTTAAAAAGAATAACGAAGATAAAATCTCAACATCCGTGTCACAGCTAAGTCGAGCGACCGTTTCCCGCCTGAAAACAAATACTGCCTTGGCTAATACCGCAACAGGCATTGCATCATATCAAAAGGAAACCATGAAATGAAGAAAATAATTTTTAACACTCTAGCTTTGATTTTGATTCCTAAGGAGAACGTCCTACTTGTTGAAAATTATTTTTATCTTTTATTCTTTTCTTCTGATATAATGCAATACCAGTTGCAGTATTAGCCAAAAGATTAGTTGTTTTGGGGATAAAAACTGTCGCCCGACTTTGCTGTGCCACAGACTATGAGAGTTTTTCTTTTCCTTTGGTTATTAATTTTAAATTGGTCATATTTGATAATTGGATTTTTTTCTCTAATAATTGCCAGTTTAGCTATTATTCCCCCTTATTCTAGGGAACTTTAGGTATTGCAGCGAGTTTTGATTTTGCTTCCTTAGTGCAGATGACGTTACCTATTTTTATTCGTTGGCTACCTACTCTTTCTCAACCAGTTTTGTACGAGTGAAGATTGTGAAATACTTGCTGATGAGTCCTAATAAGGACGAAATCAGAAGTATGACGTTCTCCAGCGTTGCCGTTTGGGTACATTATCTCGCTCATAGTACACAAGTACATTTTAGGACAGATAATCGTAAATTGGGTACATTTTGGAATAATGAATTTTCCATCATTATTTTACAAACGAGACCCCTATTTAAAATTTATATTTAAATTAAGCTATTCAAATTAAAGGTATAGATGCCTTTATTGCTTTACGGGAATGAAAAAAAAAAGCCATAAAACAACATAGAATATCGGCAAAATATTTGGACTATTAGGGTCACTGTTCAAATGTTTATATGCCGCCAACTTACGTAGACAGTTGGTGGCATATGAGAAACTTTTTTACTTATTATTAATATTAGAAAAAAATTTATTCTTCATAAGAAGTCGAGCATGGTCTAAAACCCATCAGATATCAAATTTTATTAGTCATATACGAGGTTTTTCAAAAATAAAGGTACTGTATTCTTCGTATATTCATATTTTTTGACAAACGCTCGTATTCCCTTCGTGCGAAGTCATGGTAGGGGAAGCAAACGCGATACTAGCGCTAGCTGCGGATAATTCGTGCGTTTTAGGGCGATATTTTGTAATTTTGGCGTATCAAATTTACGTATATATTTTACTTATTTAAAAAAAATAAGTGAAAAGCAATACAATGAGCAACCCGAGTTGATATGTGGTAAATTGTAATTAGCTAGCAAACAAGCAGTATAAATTTTATAAATTTGCAGTAGCAAAATGGAAATTATAATTGCAGTAAGAAGGGAAAATTAATTTCAAACCTTTATTTTTGTAACAAGAGTATCTAATACCTATTGAAAATAGTAGACATCAGAAAACTGAAGAGTTTTATATACTTAAATTATTATATTTTACGATGTTCTCCAAAATTCTTTAGGTACATGTTTAAAAAAGAAATATTTCTACCTTCGATTATAGTCTGTATCTGAAATGCACATGTGTGTCTGACTGATTGGAAAACAGTTATTTAATAATATTTAATTATACATTTTCTTTCAAACTAAAAATGAAGAAAACAAGTATAAATTGCATTCGAAAATATTACAATATTATTATTTTTTGGGAATAAATTTTAAATTCATTTTTGACATTAATCTAGCTTTATTAGGCAACTTTTCATATACTTTTTAGTAAATACTGTTGCCTAATTACCTATTCTATACACATATTTTAATAATTTTTTTATTAAATATACTAGCTAAATTAATGAAAATATATAATAATAATAAATAAATCTTTTCACTTGTATTATAAATTAATATACTTTTATTAAAACCAAAAAATACATATTTTAATTACGAAATCTATTTAAAATGATACTGTCAATACACAAAAATTCCCCCTTTAGTACATATTTTAATTGGTGCTGCCGTCACGCACGGAGCGAATACGGCTAAAAAAATGATATCTGATGGTTGCATTTTAAGTTTTGGATCGTGCAGAACTTTTTATAAAGACTTTTTTCATAAAACTAAGAATAAAAAAGTTTGCCATATAGTTCCGAATTAATTGGACACACTGTATAAATTGTTCTTATTAAAAGCAATTTTTTTATATTATACCAAAAATGTAATATTTGTTTTATTGTATTTAGATTTTGAAAGCAAAAGGCATTTATATATATATATATTAATTTTGTACATATTCAGAATTTATTCATTTTAGCAAATTTGTTTGGTACATCAACATATTTGATTGCGGCAACACTGATATTCTCCTTAGGAAGCAAAATCAAATTATAGCTAGAGTGTTGAAAATTATTTTATACCGGTAATTAAACTTCGTAACATTTTCATTTATTATAAACCATTTTAATTTTGTTCTAGGACCACCTTGACCAAAAATGATTTAATGTCTACTCAAATTAGTGTCGACAGTTTAGATAAAATTTACAATCCATACGATAATAGGAATTTGCAACACCCCAACACGTAAGTATATAATTTTTTTACACTTATATGGATATTAGCTATTCTACGCACAGATTTCATAACGAAAAAGTAGGCCATTGCGTTCAAATAAATGAATATATTTCATATCCATTCTACCTAGTAAGAACAATGCATTAATATGAAATACACCAATCAGAGTTCATATTTGGTTACCAGGCTATTATTATTTTTGTTTTTATTTTAAATAAGTGACGATACTGACGATTCTGTCAAACTAATTGTCAATATATTTTTTATTTATTTATATTAAATATGTATAATTAAAAAAGGGTTATTCTTGCGAACAATCGATAAATAATACCAACTTGGCCATCAGGACATTAAATTCACATATACTGAGTTTAAATTTTAATTCATAATCTCAATTTTTGAATAAAATTAGTAAGTATGAATAGATCGGTTTAAAGTTCTGAAAAACTATCGGTTATTGATCCGAAAACAAACTTCTCTTTATTATTCAGCTTATTTGTTGTTTAATACCCAATTACACGCTTTAATTTGACAATTTTCTGTAATAATAATTCTGCCTATTTATTTAAATTTTTCTAGCGAATTTTTTAAAATTGTTTTTTTACAACTCAACAGTTTGTTAACAAAGAGTTTGATCGCTATTAAAAATGGCACCAAATTTAGACACATATTTCTATTTTAGATTAAATATAGGTACCTTTTTTTGGTTAAGCAACAGTATAAACATTGATTACATAATTGTTATACTAAATTAGCATATAGATTATACAATCGAATGATGTCGCAACGTTAAAAGACTCTTTGGTTATAAGTCTCCTTTTAGTATACGATATTTCAGTGCCTATGAAATTGAATTAATATTTTATTAAAATTAATTATTTTATTATACTTCTGATCGACTTCAATATTTTTAACTGGTACCTAGTTAAATTTATAATATTTCACATTTTCAATCTACATTCATACTACTTGCTTGGTAAATTCAAAAATGTTTGTGGCTTAAGAGCATACCGTACACAATGAACATTTCTAATTCCATCTGAGCCTTTATTTTTAGTTCAATTTTTGAGAAATTTTCGGGAAATACCAATAATAACAAAACTTAGGATGGAGAAACTTAATTTTTTTTGTAAACCTTTGAAACGTATTTAATTGGATAATTTTTAAAAGCAATTAAAAAAACATTTATGCGCCATTCTGTATTAGATATATAAAAATATTGTTTTAATAAATATCTGGTAGTTTTTAAATGGAAAGGAATTAGCTATCAGCAAAAGGTCCTAGGTTTAAATCTAGGATTGGAGACTATTTATATAAATTCTTTTTTTTCAAGTTTTATTTCATAAATTAATAAAAGTAATAAATTATTTTCAAATTTGTTATTTTATATTGTAGAAAAAATATACAGTCTGTTCGCTATACTTACGCGGGTTTCGGATTAAAAATTTTATGAGTATTTCCAGGTAAGTACCCAAAAGTTTGACCTGTTCTTCGGGGAAATATCAACTGGTTAAATGAAATGAAAAATTATGTACAACTTTTTAATTAAATAATAATGGAGAATATTTTGTATAATTGAGAGCAGAATTAAACTTTTTCATTAATGGAGTCTAATTTGGCTATTATAAACCTAATATTAATTTTATATTACACTTCACACAGAAAATATGGTCTTTGTATAATAAGAGAGTTACTTAGCTCACATAAAACATTTTCTAACATAAAAATTTGTTCCATGTAGAGAATTTTAAATGAAAATTAAAAAAATTGAACTTGCCAACAAAAATGAAAATAAGTCATTATAATCCAAAATATCATAATCGTGATCATCATCACTGTCATCACCATTAATTGTTATTATGATTGAACTTATTTCGTTTATTTTCACGAGTCCACCAATCTTCTATTAGTTTCTCGCACTTGGATATACAGTTCCGCCACACTTCTGGAGTTCTTTTCGCCAAGTTTCCCGAACTGCGTCGTCACTATAACCATTAGGCCCAATTTGGTTGTCATAATACTGTTTTGCTATTCCCCATATATATTCGATGGGATTAAACTGGAAATAATACGGTGGCAGACGTAAAACTTGATGACGGTAACTTTCAATAATCTGATCCACAACAAAGGTTTTTGGTTTTGCGTGTATATTTGCCAAGCGTAATAATTCTGATTTTAATATATATTGAGGAAATGGTATATGTTCCTTTGTCAACCATTCTTTAATTTTATCAATAGTCCAATAATTCGTTGGACTTTTGTTTAATACTTCAGAATGGCAAGGTTCATTGTCTAAAATAATTACGCTGGGCTCACTTAAACCTGGGAGAAGTTTTTCATGCAACCATTTTACAAACATTTCTGTGTTCATATTATCGTGATAGTCACTGGATTTTGATTTAGATGAAAATATTAAATCAGCACCTTCTATAAAACCCGATTTCCCTCCTGCATGTAAAATTATGTGTCACTTCCCTTCTCCATCGGTATGTTTGATGGACTTTACGTTATCATCTTGCCATATTCTCTTGGTTGCACCCCTAGAAAATATCCATGTTTCGTCTAAATATTTAAAATTCGTCCCTTCTTCTTTAAATTTAGAATATTTTCTTAGAAAGTTAATTTTCTTGTTCACGACAGAACTTCTTTCACAAAGGGCCTTTCTGTTATCCTCCTTTTGAAATTTGAAATTCAAGTTATGTATCACTTGCCATAGACTTGTTCTGCCAATGTCGTCAAATTTTCTATCTATTAATTCCGAGAGAATTGTATTTAAGGTCATATGTTCCTTGTTGGCCCTCATTCAATAAATGGTATCACGAATTTCAAATTTCTTTCCATCTGGAATATCTTTCGTTTTCAATGATGGGCGAGTTTTGCGGTGATCTTCTTTCGGCAGTTCACTATTATGATTTTGTAATACTCCTCCTAATTTGGTTTCCCTAATTCCTAGAGCATCGCATACGCGTTGTTGTACAGACATTACCGATTTTAAGGGACCGCCATTTTCTTTTTCATCTGTAAAATACTTATGTACACTACAAATTAGACTATCTACATCCAACACACGTCTGGGAATTTTTAAAATTTCCACTAAATTTACAATATACATACAACTGCAATATTTGTAACAAATGTAGTACCTACCCTAATGTTATTTTAATTTAAATCTGGCCATTAGGGTAATTTTACCTAATTTCTTGGGAAGAGGCTTATTGGAACTGGTTGTCAATGACTAATTTGCATAATTTTGTTAATCCGAAACCCGCGTAAGTATAGCGAACAGACTGTACTGTACAACTCGAGTGGATTGTCCGTATCGGACTCAGACAATTAAGTACTCTGCCTACGGGCGTCCTGTTCATACTTCGTTTTCGTGCGAAATGGCCATCATGCCCACTCTTTTTGCACAAACTGCTATTTATATACTGAAAGTTTTAAATTGCCAATATACAACTAATCTTTTTGAACAGATTTAGTATATTTTAGAAGGACCAACCTATATTATGATAGGATTTTTTTGTTGCTTACTTAGAACTAGAATGATGAGAACTAGAACTAGTTTACTAATTTACTCCTTACACTTACTTATCTAAACAATACTGAACTGTTTATTATTTATATAAAAACCTAGGTACATTTTAAATTACTTTTATAAAATTAATAAGGCCATTATATTACAATACAGGATTACACGGCTTTAACCAGGCCAGGCTATACTACGACGTCGGAAAGGCATTCCTACTGACATAGCTCTTACGAATTTGAAAGAAATCCTGTAAACGGTAACCTCACATGCAGGATAAACTAGTCTAGTATACAGATCGTACAAAATCCAATGAAGGAACTAGATCCGGAATGTTTGGATTCGAATTAAAAACAATAATTTTTCTGACTCTAGGAGAATATGTAACAGTGTTCTAGGCTGAACTAATAGCCATACAACAGTGTGTAAGAGAAATAATAGCAAGTATTAGGTAAAACGTAATTAAAATCGTGACCTTAGCTTAAGTAACAGGTCTTGAAGGACATCAGAGCCATAAAAAAGCAGACAAATTTGTCCGAGAAGACTCAGAAAAGGCCATGATAGGCCTAGAATCGTTTTAAGGATTTGGTAATGTAGTATGCAAGCCATCCATCAAACAATGGATGGAAAACGGGTCTCAGGAATGTCCAAACAACTAGGTATGTTAGTGAAGAGGAAACATCAATTCACGTCTTGTACCAGAGTAAAGACTTGGCTAGATTTAGGTTTCTAACAAGAGGGAAAGAAAAATCAAAAGAATGTAATTACATGCGAAAAGCATTTGTCAAAGATACTAAGTCTAGTAGACTAAGTTAGAGGACACACAATATATCTGAAATTCTCGCAGTAGACAAAGAAAATTATCTTATTCCTGCCAAACACAGGATGGGTTACATTGTAAAAATAAATTAATGAGTTTGAATTATGCATGATATTTGATTGAAATATATTACATTTTAAAATACGTATTTACCTTCAAAAATGTAATTGAATGTCAATATTATACCAATAAACGGTAGCAGGATTTTTATATACATAACGATATAATCAAAAGAATTACGCATTTGTAAATAAAAATAATTTTATTCACTATTAAATAGTTTTAATAACAAATAAAATTGCGGACATTATTATCATTTGTTTTTTATTACATTTACTTTGTAAACAAGAGTTTATGATGAACTGAATGTTACTTCAAAATAAGAGCTTCGTAAATCTATGAATTAAAAAAAAATACTAACTATCCATGAAGAAAATTGGTGCTGGTAAACAGCAGCACGAGACTTTTAAAATGCCACAACGTAATTTTAAAACATGTTTAAACCACTTCTAGGTATATGTTACATACCTAATGGAACATCCTGCTAACTATAGTGGATGTGGGGTAGCTAAAACCTTTCAGATTAGGAAGGATAATATCACTAAACCTAAAATAATGACGAGGCAGAGGAGTTCCTACTGTCAGAAATGAAATAATACCTTA